ACTGCAAGATGTGCTCAGATGGCCTGTGTCCCCTTTAGATCGTGTCAATCGAAAGGTGCATAACAACTGCCACTCTTGATATGCCGTCGGGCACTCGGCGTCGTCTTGCCTAAACTAATTGCCGAATGCGGTTGGCCTGTCAGGTGTTTCTGCATAGGTCGTTTACTGAAACAGTGCATTAGCATTATGTAAATCGGTCTGCGCTAGTTCACAGAAGAATTGATCGGCAACAGACTTTTATAAGCCCGAAGTTAATTGTTATCTTTTTGTCAAAAATTAAATGTATTATTTATCGGTAATTGTGCTAGCACCTCATAGCCGTTACTGAGCGAATGCGATTCGAAGTAACCGGATGGAGCTTAAATAAAAATCATAAGAAACATGATTTATGTTTTTATACCCTGAACCCATTAAAAATGGGTACAAGGGTATATGTATTTGTGCAAAATCCAAATGTATGTAACAGGCAGAAGGAAGCATCTCCGACCCCATAAAGTATATATATTCTTGATCAGCATCAAAAGCCGATTCGATCTAGCCATGTCCGTCCGTCCGCCCGTCCGACCGTCCGTCCGTCCGTTTATATGAACGCAAGGATCTCAGAACCTATAAATGAAATTTTAGATGTAGATGCTCCTAGTTCCCGCGCAGATCGAATTTGTTTCCGATAATCGATAACTTACTCCGTTTCCAAGCAATCGATAAAAATCGATATCGATATCCTGTTTTTTGGGCAATTTTGGTAAATAATAAGAGCTAGAGGTACCAAACTTGACATATAGCTTCTAAAATAGAATATATATATACATTTGATGTTGGAAGAAGAGGGTTCAGGGTATCCCCTAGTCGGGAGCTCCCGACTAGAACCTCTTACTTGTTTTACATACAATAACCCATTTGTATTATGACAAGCTACAAAGCTACAACAAAATATATATTTTTGCTGGGGTTACCCCCAGCAGCAATGTCGTTTTTTAGTTCGACTGCTTGCAACAATGTCCTATTACTTAGTACGTTAGTACTTCAATTCCGAAATGTTTCTTTATTTTGAGCCTTGCATTTGCTATTGAGCTTAAAGTCTTGTATCAAAACAGCTGTTGTTTTTTTTAAACAGCATTTGACTTTGGTTTCAGCGTTGTTACTCAACAGAAAAAGCTCACACCTGGTAATACAACAAAATATTCAATGATAAAGAACGCAATGTCTATGCTTACTGCTGTACAAACAAATAAAATCGGTCTATAATTTCGATCAAATACTTTTTTAAATTGACTACTTCCGATATTACAAAAGTAATTCAAATTGTATTGAGATTAGTATGGATATTTGGTGTAAAACGCTTTATACATTTCGGATTGGCCGGTAGTTTTTACCAAGCATCTATACAATCATGCACCTCTGCCCCTTCAGCGCAATCCTATCAATTTTTTCATTAGTAAAGTTATAATAAACCAGAAGCAACGGCCACATTTTTCCGGTTGACTTGTTACCTATACAAAAAAATTGCCCGTCGTCGCCAGGCTCAAATGAATAATGTTGAAAATGCAAGTAGTACCGAAATTGTTTGTAAAATATACAAAACCGTTTTAATGGGTACCGTGTTGGCTACGCATGCTCCCTACGCCCGTCCCGGTGCGATGCATTAAGTGTAAATATATTACAAGTGAAAGTATAGAAATGAAATAAAAAATAAAATTATCACTGCCATGTCCCTTTCTCGTGTAATGGAATAAGTATGTAACTTTTATATAAAGAACAGGGTATCTCAAAGTAGAATACCCGTTGAACAAGCATATACTCCTTTAAAAAATAGTTGGCGCCAGACGAGCAAAAATCTGCGGTAAGAAGAAAACTGCTGCACTTTGTATTCTTAATGAATTTGTATATACATAGACACATACATGAACAATGAACATATATAAGGTGTACGAAAGTTTGTGTAACAAACGATACACGACGATCCGAGCAACAGATTTTCAGAATGTCACCAAGTGGACTTTGTTCGCAGCCTATATTATTGGCAATGTAATTCTGGCGACTAACTGGGCGGCTTAGTTGTCTCTAAATGCAGTCACATCTGTCGTTTACGAGTTTGCATCAAATGAAAATTAAATCAATGGCCAAAAGCATCTATTATCTGGCACAAAAGTTCAATTGCAAGTTCATTTTTGTAAATCCAATTGCCATTTTGTATGAAAAATTCGTGAAGAATGTTTGATAACATGCTATGAAAAAAAAAAAACATTTTTAATAAAACTTTCGACTTATGCACATTATTAATTGGGTGAGGGCAATTATCAGTTCGACAGCTAAAGTAATAAGTATAGTAGGAATTCACAATGATTTGTACACAAGTATTTGTATACCCTGAGCCCATTTAAAATGATTATAAAGGGTATAAAGGATTTCTGCAAATGTATGTATGTAACAGCCATAAAGTATATATCTTATTGATCAGTATCAAAAACTGAGTCACCTAGCCTTGTCTGTCTGTAAGATTTGATATGCAGCTTTCTGAATTCAATATTATGGGAATTTCGACTAAGAATAATGCTGCCAGATTTATATTCTTAATTAAACAAAAGGCGCAACCTTGAACAAAAAGCCAAACTTCGTGAAATTTCGGATTCGTTTAGACCGAGTTATGGGGGTGTGCAATTTTAATCTATGTTTATATAGGATATTTAAGGGTTACATTTTTACATACATTTTCACCAACAATAATAGTGCCAGACTTAGATGGAAAATTTATTTAGATGTCGAGCACCAAAAAATTCTTAAACACTGAAAGAAAGGCTATTTTCGGTACGCCGAAGATTTAATACTCTTGCAGACCCAACCTTTTCATAATGCTCATAATGCTTTGCCCGTATCTAAGAACCACAGTTAAAATAGTTAAAGCCGATGTAAATAAAATAAGATAAATATAGGGAACGTAGTGAAACTTATAAATGCCGAGTTTGGTCAAGATATATTGATAAACAAAAAGTTTTCTGTAAAACAACTTAAGTTTCGACCGATCGTTCTTATGACAGCTATATGATATAGTGGTCCAATCCACCCAGTTACGACATATGCGTGAAAAAAGGAGGGACTTATGAAATGTTTTATGACGATAGCTTTAAAACTGAGAGACTAGTTCGCATAGAACGGACGGACAGAGAGACGTGGCTGTATCGAATCGGATGTTGGTTCTGTTCAAGAAGGAAAATTTACTTATTTTTGTTTAATGAATTCATTTAATATTTGTATTACTGCTAAAGCGACCACGCTCTTAGTGCGACCGACATTTGATGTTGATAGAAGAGGGTCACCGATTTTAAATTTTTTAGTTAAAAATTGTACTAATACAAATGGTCTGTTTTAAACAATTTCAATATTTCCGAAATTAACCAATTAGTGTTTTAGACTTGTAAAAATCGGATAACTAATATACTTAATTTCAAGCATTATATAATTCTTTTTCGACCTTATCTTCCTTGTGGCGGCGATCGTTTCCTCACCGATAAACACAAGTGATATGAACTCTTCAAAAATGAAGCCACATGGCAGTTTATTTTAATTTGCATGCGTTTCCGGCAAAACGGCTGTGGCTGGGCCATAAGTTTTCACTTTCACCCACAGCTGGCAGCTGCTGCGGAGATTTTTTTAAATATGGAACACACTGTACATATTTCCATTTCCTACAAGCTTCAACATGCTATGATCACCACATTAGAAGCTTGGGTGTCAGGGAGACAGTTCTGGTTTTGGTTTGTGGGTGTTGAAAAAATAATGGGGTGGGTCATATATATATACATATAAAAATATATACGTTGGATAGTGCATAGTAGAAAAGAACTGTCATCGTTTTGTCAGCAAGCTATTTCGTGAGTGAATGCATATGTACTTAAAAGTAAATTCAAATAGGTCTATTACCCCTAGTTAGCCGCAAGCCAATAATCATACAAAAGTTATTTGAACTAAAATTAAAATCTTAAACAGTGCAATCATACTGCCTCTTCGTATGTTCTTGTACGACTTTGAATTGTTTGTAGGCTCATATAATTTTTTAATAAATCTGTATACATATACTTCCAAGTAGAAAATTGAGACAATTTTAATGCATTCGTAAACAATTAAAATTACAAATTAATTGTGTCTTAATCTGTTTTTATGTGCTGTTGAAATATATGGTCGTCGCGCTTTGGTCGCGGCCGCCTTGCTGCACAGCATTTTTCTGCCTTTTCTCTCACGCTGATGAGTTCGTCGACAAATTATGACGAACTGTGGATAATAATTTCACTCGTATGCATATTCACACTGCCATGCAGACGACCAGCAGTGTCACCCTCACAATTGTTTATACGCTTTTTAACCCAGGGTTGTGCCTTATTGGCCGTTAACGCTGGAGCGCTTGGACTGCATCCATAAATTGTCATATCTTGAGTAAATGCAATCAGCCTTTATTATTATTTTACTTATTAAAAAGACTCTGATAATTGTAAACGAATTGCATAGAATAAATCAGTTGGATGGGCATTATTATTAATGACGCGCTCTGAACTCTTTAAATCTTCTTTGGTCAGTTAGGACACAAGCTAGTCGGCATGGGCATGTGACCGCAATCCCTTTAGTGTTGAATGATAAAATATTGAACAGATATTAAAAAATATATGTATATATTCTATTCATTTTTTTTACTATTACACTTCATTATTTAAAAATACTGAAATACGTAACAAGTTGATTAACTTGCTACCTTATACAAATCAAATGTTAAACTCAGACTATTGAATTAATATTTATTTTAAAGTGCTTTGAAATATCATGGAACAACATAACAAATACACAATAAAAAAACTGTTGAGATACTTAAGAATCAAAGTAGGTTGGGATTAATTTTGAAAAACTACCACACCACAGCCAGGCACAATATAATAATCAGCTAGCCACCACAATTTATCGGTCAGCTATCGGGTAGTGCACTCTCAGCACTACAGTTTCTTTCATTTTGCCCATTGTTTGATTTTCACTTTGGGAAGTAATATTTTAGTTATATTTGTATAAATTAGTGTGCAAAAATGTCGACAGCACAGAGGTCGTTTGTACAAAAAGTCTCAAAGTACGTAAAAAAAAGTAGTAGATTAAAGCTGAATTTGTAACAACCGCGCCCTCTTAATACATTAGTCGGCACAAAAATCATTCCATAGTTGTTGGTCCCTTTTATAGAAGCAATTTATATACCTGCTTTTTCAACAGGCAACCGGCGGCAGATGTGCGCAAAAACATTACTATGCATATGAAGTCTAAGCCCACCAACTGCAGCTCAGTGTGTTCATCTACGGTAATTTTGTTGCTCTTTTTATTCGATTGCATACAATTTACTTACAGTTAATTATCATTTAGCTCTCTCTCACTGAACCTCTTGATTATGAAGAATTCCTTATTCAAAACATTAATATTATTAACCGAGATCCATTAAAGCACATTTTGGATTTTCCTCAAGGAGATGTGTCAGTTAAAACAATTCCGAGAAAGATTCGCACTGTCGATCACATTATACCTAAAGGAAATATGTAAGCAATGCCCATTTAAGTGGTATTTTTGTTATTTAGAATCTATTTTGCAGCTCTGACTTACCAAAGCACGTGCAGGAAAGCATTCATTGTTACACGCGTCCTTGGAAAGTTGTAGAATATGCACAACGCCACTACTCAAGCTCGTGTTGTGCACGAGAGCGTATTGATCGCGAAACTATTAGCCCTTCGGCTTACCAGCAAGAGTTCGAGATTGATAAAGACTTTTCCTCCTTTGACGAATCATTCACCGATAAGAGCGAAAGCTGCACACCTAGTTCCAGACAATCTATAGCCAGCTTAGCTTCGGTTAGTTCTTGTACCGATACGCTAACTCCTCGCAGTTCTTGGGCAAGTTTTGATTTAAGGCGCTCTGTTAATGACCCTCTTATTCCAAATTTATTGGATAATGTACCGCCAGAACAAATTGATCAATTAAATGACACGCGGCGGCAGGAGGATCGTCAGGATGCATTCTTTTCCCTTTATCCGGATATTGAAACTGAAGAAGTTGTTGAGCGCAGGTTGCCCGCTGAAGTTCCAGTAGAACATATTGGTCATCGCATACAAGTTAAATGTCTGCAATTAAAGTTGGAGTTAGAAGTAGAGCCTATATTCGCATCAATGGCCATTTACGATGCAAAAGAGCGACTAAAAGTATCTGAAAATTTTTACTTTGATATGAATTCGGACAATCTGAAACTTATGTTATCAACCCATGTTCGGTGTGCCGATGTTAGCACGCAAAGTCGCTCCGCTATATTTGAAATTTCTTATCCAAGTAATGATTTATTTCTTGTTATACGACTGGAAAAAGTTCTACAGGGTGACATTAATAATTCTGTGGAGCCTTACCTTAAAGAGGACAAAGACAAGTACCGAGAAAAAGTAAAGTCAAATGCAATGGATTATTGTGAGCGCTTGGGAAAATATCGCATGCCTTTCGCTTGGACTGCTATATACCTAACAAACGTCTTTAATGGGGACAACTTTGAAAATAAGGACTCTTGCGTTGGTGAGAGAGACTCATCGAACAGCAGTGGCAGTGCTATTTTGGGTTCTGCCGCAAGCTCAAATAGCTTAGATCGTAAGTCTTCAACTAGTAGTTTTGATCAGCTGCGCCGAAAAGCTAACGATATGAGCGGTACGCTAACAAGGCGGGGCTCACTTGAACGCAAAGAAAAACGCCGCTCTTGGTCACCAGATGACTTCGCCAACGTTGTTGAAAGTTTTCGTCCAATTACTTTAACTGTGCCAAGTTTTTTCAAGCAAGAGGCAGATAAAATGAAAGATGAGGACTTATATAAAATTTTACCCGAGCTTAAAAGGCCAAGTACAGTCATAAAAAAATATAAATGTATTCCGGGATCCATAAAATTGGAAATATCACCTTGTGTTGAAGATGTTACGAATGCGTTAACTCCGGAATTGGCTAAAATCGAGCCACATAATGGCGACAAACCATACCCAGTTAAAGAAATATTGGAATTTCCCCCTCTACCCATTTATAATCCCCACTATATATATCGTAATCTACTATTTGTGTCTCCCAAAGAGTTAAATTTTTCGTCACGCGCCGGCTCGGCTCGTAACATTGCCATTCGTGTACAGTTGATGGCAGGTAAGAAAATGATATGAAATTAAAACAATCACATCATTTTTTTTTTTTTTAATAATTACATAGGAGAAACACAAAATGATGCAGTCAATGCCATCTTTGGTAAATCGTCGTGTCCGGAATTTACGACTGAAGCATTTACATGCGTCAATTACCATAACAAGTGTCCATCATTCTATGACGAGATTAAGATTGCTCTGCCCGCTTCCATCAAACAGCACCACCATTTATTGTTCACTATCTACCACGTTTCATGCCAAAAAAAGCCACATGATTTGCAACTATCAGTGGAAACTCCCATCGGCTACACTTGGTTACCACTTCTGGAGGATGGAAAACTAAAAGTTGGGGAATTCAATTTGCCTGTTATGGTGGAAACACCCCCGGAGAACTACTCATTTATCCCACCAAATGTTCATCTTCCTGGAATAAAATGGCTCGACAATCATCGCGCTGTATTTTCCATTAACGTGGATGCTGTGACTTCAGTTCACACTTTGGATGCACACCTAGATCGATTTTTTTTGATCTGCGAATACTTGGACACCCGAAACATTCCTTCCCATATTGGCGAGTGTAATATGGAAGCCGAGTTGAAAAGGTGCCTACTGGACATAGATCATGCCAGTCGTGAATCACTTGTTAGACATCTGCCTCTTGTGTTGGACAAGCTAATTGAATTATTGGTAACTACACATAAAGTAGGAGGCCAAATTATGTCTTTGGGTTCGACTGTGTTCGAGGTGCTTTGCTTAGTTTCAGCACAGCTTTCCATACTAAGCGACATTGACCAATATGGACGCCAGAGCTTGTTTTCCACTTATGTGCAGTTCCAATGCAAAATACCGCGCCCCCTCAATACTGAACACATCACTACCAATGAGTTCTTATCGAAGGAAACCTGTAGCATTTATGATAATGATTCAAACACTCATACTGCTGGTAAGTTACCAAAAATTATTATAAAGTACTCTTATTAAGTTTACTTTCTTATAGCTCTTGAAGTTGGCCCACATCCAAGTGTGGGACTAGAATCGAATGTCAGTCATGTACGTTTGCTACACGAAGAGCTCGTCTTGCAATACACACTGTCTAGTGGGAGAGTGGCAGATATTGCTATGAGTAATTCATGGTTTCTCTTTGAGCTTATTATCAAATCTATGATAGAACACTTAGATAATTCAGGTACCCTGAATGCTCCACGTAAACAGCGGTTTTCACACCAGTTTAACGAAGACGTAGCCTCGCTTGTCGCAGTTGTAACTAACAAAGTAAATGAATACCATAGCACGGACCCAAGATTAGCTCAGTCATTGAATGCAAGTTTAAGCTTTTTGATTTTCGATCTACTGAGCATTATGGATCGTGGATTTGTCTTTGGTTTAATTAAAATATACTCGAAGCTTATAACATCAAGAAATGCGATAGTACCTGATTTGATGAACTATAAACTCGACTTTCACCGAATTGTATGCAGTCACGAACACTTTGTAGCGTTAAATTTTCCTTTCGGTACTTCTTACACGACCATCTCAGCGCCTTGCAGCCCAACTCCCAGCACTACATCTAACACTAGTCAGACTTCATATGTACGTATTATAACTATTCAAATTTCGGTTTACATTTTACGACTTTACATTTCTTTGCTCAGGGATCCATTGAACGTGCGTTGCACGCCGACCTTAGTACTGAATTTCGTCAACAGCATTTTCTCATCGGCCTTGTGTTAAGCGATTTGGCCACTGTCATGGAAGTGCCTAATCCTCAAGTGCACGGAAAAGCAATTAACTGCATACGAAATCTTTTAAGTTCACATGACTCACGGTACGATGCGGAAGTACGCTCGCGAGTAGCTTCACTCTATATACCGCTGCTTTCGATAGTCATGGATACTTTTTCACAACTATATCAATATCTATCAGATGCTCAAGATCATGATCGCTTGCAGCAGATAGGTCAACTTGAAGATTATCAAGGACCTCACCAGACTATAGCCACGGCCACTATAAGCCCTGAAGTAGCATATGCTATCTCTGGTAGTCGTGTATACTCCTACATGGCGGAACAATCGAAAAACAAGGTTCCCTTGAACGCAGAGAATACGCGTCACTTGCTGGCTTGTTTCCTTTGGGTGCTGAAAAATTTGGAACGCACGGTACTCTATCGCTGGCTACTCGGCTTAAGCCCGCATCGTGTGCACCAAATGCTGCAAGTACTTAATACATGTTTAAAAGCTTTTGAATATTCGGGTCAAAAACGGATGCCTACCCTAAAACGGGCTAATACTCATAGCTTTCGTAAAACAGCGCCAACTGATGTTAAAGAAAAATTAGAAGAATGCATTAGAGGAACAAATTCGGCACGTTATGATTTGATTAATCGTCGCAAAGATCGAAATTCAACTGAAAAACTTCGCTGGCGTAAGGAGCACATGCCATACCGTTCGCAGTACAGTGAAACAGTTACCAAAAGCGAACCAGAGCTCGAATTAAGTCATTTTATTGAGGGTTCTCTTTCTACTGAAATTGCACTTATCATTCTAGATTCCTTAGAAATAGTAGTTCATGTGGCTACCAACCTACATCATAATCTTCTAGGGACAGTACTAAAAGTCCTCCTGCATAGTTTATCTCGCAATCAATCGACCCTGGCATTGCAAAATTTATTTGCTTCTCAACGTGCATTGATCTTTAAATTCCCAAATCTTCTGTTTGAAGAAGAAACCGATATATGCGCAGATTTATGCCTCTTACTGTTAAAGCATTGCGCATCACAATTACCAGGCATTCGTTCACAGGCAGCTGCATCGTTGTACCTGCTAATGAGACAAAACTTTGAAATCGGAAATGTAAGTATATAAATAATAATTAAATCAATTAATGTATAACTATTTGCCAAGGCTAAGTGACTAACTAACTGACTTGACTGATTGGTGATCAAAATACAGACCAATCCTAAAATTTGTACAGTAGTTACGTTTACGTTTAGACGGAGGTGTGGAAAATACAATCTGTCCGTTCGGCTTCAATACTCTACGTTAAAAATGTTAGAAAATAGGTAGAAAAAAGTATTGCTTTTTTTTTGTTTTATATCGGGATAATTCAGATTCCTTTTCAATGACCTATTTCAAATCACATTTTAAATGTGCTTAAATGGGATAAGTTTAATTCTCATATGGGCGAAAAATAAGTTAAGTATAGTAGTTGCTGAGACATAGAGAAACATACTTGGCCCAGACAAAGCGGTTAAATACCTGTTTATACTTATAAACATATATGTAACAACATCTCCCATTTTAGAACTTCGCACGCGTCAAAATGCAGGTAACTATGTCACTAAGCTCTCTTGTGGGGACTAGTGCATCTTTTAGCGAACAGTCGCTTCGTCGTGCGTTAAAAACAATTTTAGTCTACGCCGAGTCCGATGCAGACTTGCAAGAAACTTCTTTTCCAGAACAAGTGCAAGATTTACTGTTCAATCTGCATATGATCCTCTCTGATACTGTAAAAATGAAAGAATACCAGGAGGACCCAGAAATGTTACTTGACCTAATGAACCGCATAGCAAAAGGCTATCAAAACAATCCAGACTTACGGCTAACATGGCTAGAAAACATGGCTAAAAAGCACCGTGAACGCGCTAATCACACTGAGGCGGCTATGTGTTATATACATGGGGCTGCCCTAGTTTCAGAATATCTTAGTATGCTGGAATCCCAAACACATTTGCCTGTCGGTGCGGTAAGTTTTCAGCGCATTTCACCAAATACGTTTATGGAGTCTGCGGTATCGGATGATGTTCTTAGTCCAGGTGAAGACGGCATATGTCTGGGCAACCACTTTACTGAGACGGGATTAAAAGCATTGCTCGAAGAGGCTTCTAATTCTTTTCAAGTCGCAGGAATGTATGAAGCTATGAACGAAGTATATAAAATATTAATTCCAATCTGTGAGGCGAACCGTGAATTTCACAAGCTTGGCAAAATGCATGGTAAGCTGCAAGAAGCCTTTAATCGAATTGCACAGCTTCAGGTAAGTGCGAAATACAAATCTCTGCAAGTCTGATATACAAAATTTAAATCAGAACTAAATCGTCGATCAAATCATACACTGCTACATTTTTACTTTTTTATAGGGTAAAAGGGTGTTTGGAACATATTTTCGCGTTGGTTTCTATGGTGCCAAATTTGGAGATCTGGACCAGCAAGAATTTATTTACAAAGAACCCACATTAACGAAGTTGCCAGAAATATTTAGCCGACTTCAGGTACTCTGATATTGCTATGATGACATTTTATAAATTTTAATCATTTTCTCATTCAGAACTTCTATGCGGATAGATTTGGTCCTGAATCGGTGCATATTATTAAGGACTCAAATAATTTTGATACAAACACATTGGATCCAGAAAAGGCGTATATACAAATCACTTATGTCGAACCCTACTTCGAAACCTATGAAATGCGTCATCGCGAGACTTACTTTGAGCGAAATTTTAATATAAGTATGTCATTTTTATCTTTTTTTTTTTTTTTTTTTTTTTTTTTATTCTCTGCTGTCGGGAATAATAATTTACAAATCCAAAAACATACATGCTTGTTTTCGGACAAAGCAATCCGCTTTCTTGATTAAGAATCGTCCGTTTGTCTGTATCCGTAAGCAACTGTTAATTTTATGTTTGAAACTGTGTTTTTGTATGCAATATTGGTGAAGTGGGTATGTTTTCTTTTCGAATGTACGCAAAGGCAATATGGTAGACCAATTGTTGAGCAACATCAGCACCCTAGTTGATTAGACCATAATTGTCTGCTTACACTGATGTAAGTATTACATAAAAACAAACCCTACTACTTTCAAGCACATAAACTCCTTTTTTAATCTAGGTTTTACCTTCCCTACAACCCCCTCTCAATTCCCAATTTTACCAAAATTATAAAACGCAGTTTGAGATTTTTTGATTTGGAATATTCACAAACATCATCTTATACGACCTACAAACATAAAACCATAAGGTAACAAAAACAGAAGCTTCCAAACTGTGGGGCTCCCTAAAATAAAACATGCTCGCTTTGGGTGTATGAATGTATTTTACCAAGAATGTATACTGACGGAATTTATAATCATACCACTTAATTGCCGTTTTTCCCTTAGAATGTTTAAGATTTGGAACACTTTTCTCTAAAAGCGGAAAAGCTTATGGAAAATCATATGAGCAATGTAATCGATAATTAATATTACAAACAGTTAACCACTTCCCTTAGGTTAAATCTAATTGATCTATTTTATACTTTTTCCCTTAGAACGTTTTATATTTGCAACACCTTTCACTAAAAGCGGAAAAGCTCATGGAGAATTACATGAGCAATGTAAACGAAAAACAATATTAACAACAGCTAACCACTTCCCTTACGTCAAAACTCGTATCCAAGTAATCAGTAGAGCGCAATTTCAATTGGAGCCGATTGAAGTGGCAATAGGTAAGTAATTTTAAATAAGTTAACCTATATAGTAGAGTGGCTTCATCTTTTTGAAAAAAATATTTTTCATGGGCTTAAACAAAGAAATATATTTATATATATATATATAAATGAGTGTGTATATGTGTGGGTGTGTGTGCTAGTGTGTACATTTATGTATGTATGTATGTATGCATGCATGTTTGTTTTTAATACCTAACGCAGACCGAGCTTATTTGATGCAAATTTAAATAAAACGAATTGTTACAAAGTGCTCTCCTCCTCGATTCTCAAGAATTCAATTAGGCTCTGCAGCTTTTCATGCTTAGCTAGTAGTGTCGTATTTTTGGTGTTATTTTTTGGTGCTTTTTGTGTTGTTTTTCTTGCTGTTTTTTTTATATGTATGTATTTACAAATTTGTCGTTTATTTGTATGTGTGTACATATATGTATGTATGTACAAATATGCACACGCGTACATACATATAAACGACATATGTATTTTATGTGTATGTATGTCGTTTGCATGTATGTATGTCGTTTGCATGTATGTATGTCGTTTGCATGTATGTGTGTGCGTGTGTACATATATGCAGGTATGTGCGTGTACAACTTGGTCGCTTATATGTGAGTATGTCCGTGTGTATTTATATGTATGTATGTACAAATATGTACACACGACATAGATACATATAAACAACATATGTATGTATATCTGTATATTATGCATCTACATATGTGTGCATGTATGTGTGTGCGTGTGTACACATATGTATGTATGTGTGTACACATATGTATGTATGTGTCTACACATATGGTATGTATGTGTGTACACATATGGTATGTATGTGTGTACACATATGGTATGTATGTGTGTACACATATGGTATGTATGTGTGTACACATATGGTATGTATGTGTGTACACATATGGTATGTATGTATATTCATATTTATGTATGTATATATGTGTGCATGAATGTAAGTAGCCGGACATGTGTTCATACATGTACGCATGCATGCATGTTTGCATATGTACAAAACAAACATGCACACATGTATGTACAAACAGGCACACATTTATATATGCAAACTTAAGACCTACCCAAAAAAATCTTTCAATTGCATTTTTTACCGAGGAAGCTGGATTCTGCGAAAAGTGTGAAACACGTCGCAAATGATTTTTCGTATAGATCCTTGGCAATGAATTTAAACACGAAAAGTCACCCACAAAATCTTTGACTCCCATAAAAACGTTTTTAACGATTTTTCAACACATGCGAGTGGTATTTCCCCGTCTAAACGTGTACCTTCACATAAGGTAACTACAGTGAAAATTTTACCTTTCTAGCTTTTACGGTTCGGGTTGTGCATTGATCACCAATCAGTCAGTCATTTAGTAAGTCAGGACAATAAGTTGTATATATTGAGATATAGAATGTGCTTTAAGAACAATAAGAAATAAACCTTATTGAAAATATTTCAAATGGAATACGAAGCTCTCCACCAAGAAAAGGCTTAAATCAATTATTATTAATATTTCTTTTAATATATCTTATGGTAGAGGACATCCAAAAGAAAACACTGGAATTGGCTGCAGCTACCAATCAAGAGCCAGCCGACCCAAAAATATTGCAAATGGTTTTACAGGGCTGCATTGGTACTACTGTCAACCAAGGTCCAATGGAAATGGCTAGTGTATTTCTGTCAAACTTATCCGACGGCGCAACCATACCAACGAAGCACCAAAATAAATTACGATTGTGTTTTCGCGAATTTTCAAAACGGTGTGCGGATGCTTTAAAAAAGAATAGAAACCTGATATTATCGGATCAAAAGGATTATCAGCGGGAACTTGAACGTAACTATGAGCGCTTTGTGGAACGTCTAACGCCGCTTATCACACTAACTTCAGTACAAACACAAGGTGTTATAAAGTAAGTTGAAATTAAACTACAAAATTAAATCAAATTGAATTATGGTTTACTATTTGCAGAACCAATGCTTATCAAAATAAAAGCACACCATTAAAATGGTAATTTATACGCTCCAAATTAATTTATATTGATTACAGTGAAAATAGTTTTATCTTTAATAACCCAATTTTTACAAATTTTTTACATGCCTAGTGTATCGGATTATTTTAAGTAAGTTTTTATGCACACAATATCCAAAGCGCTTTAAATTCAACACAATTACATCTATACATAATATATTAATAATATAATATTTTATAAATACATTCTTCTGATATTTCGAAATTATTATCATATTATTCATTAAGAACATCCCCATAATCGTAATCATAATCACAATCCTACGCCATGAATACTACTGATAATCGTTTAAATATAAATATAACATAAATATACATAATAATTTATTTATTATATTGTCTCAAAAAATGTTACCAAATATTGGTATACTGAATCTATTTAGAAGGTTTTTTAAGAATTTTTATATGAAACGCGAATACAATCAATATGATTTTTTTTCGAATTTCGATATAGTTTTGATTGAACTAATTTTTATAAATAAAATTATAAGTATATACAAGTACATAAGTATAGGAAAAATTATAATTAACTTATTTTAAATTATAAGCTATTTTTTTCACGCCGTTGAAGAAGTCACTAGTATTATATGAGAAAAGAGTTTCAGAATATAATGGAACACTCGTATGAACATATTTTGGTACATTTTCATCTGCATTGCTCACAATTCGTGTCCACTCGGCCATGTCGTCATTTGGATTTGTATGGTTTGCTTCTTGGTGCAAAGGCTTTAACATGAACTGCAAGTCCTGCAATTGTTTCAAAAATCGTACTGAAAATATAAAAAGTTAAATGAAATATAGCACTTATACAAGTAGAAACTTGAATTATACTGCAAATATTATAAAAACGTAAATTATAAGATAGCAATCTCTATATATGTATTTAACTATTTGTCAAATTTATTTAAGAAGTGTGTCGCACTTTTTGCAAAATCCATCCCTCCGTGGTTAAAATAGGAATCAAAGAATTGGTAGGTGATGTTTCGGGTTCAATTTAATTTCTAAGAATCTTTATAAAAATTCACACTTTTATAAGAATCCACGAATTCTTGGTGCGATTCAAACAGTTTCGACCGATTTGCATCAACATAATTCCAAAGCACTTCATAAAAAAAGTGAATTATATCCCCTAGTATATTTATATCATTAGAGTGCTTAGAGATTTCCCAATATTAAAACTGATCCTTAAGTTTGTTTTGCTTATCAGTACAGAAAACTATTAATTTGAAGCGCATTATTTTAACAGTTCAATAATGTCATCATGATTATGAATTTATAATTAATAAGATGATGTCGTAGATTTTTGCACAGATAGATAAGAATTTACTGAACTGGTTTAAGGATTTTTGTTTAATTGGCTTATGAATGCAGAGTATTCTATTGTGTACTAAATTATACTTACAATGTACATCCTCGAAATTCAACAGCCGCGCCTGACTCTTCCACCATTTACACAATAAATATAGATAATGTTTTGTTGTTTCTTCAGAGTCTCGGAAAATGCAGGTGAGGTAATATTCACGAAAGATAAGTGTAAATAAATGCAATGAAATCTGTGAGATTTCTCCAACTTGTAAGATATCTGCATAAACGTTTACAATATATAGTGCACTTGGTACAGTTATTATTCACTAACCTGACTTTTTGTCTTGAAGCATCCACTGATACATCATTTGATAAACGATCGTAACAACGCTTAGACAAATTTTTACATAACATTCGCATTGAATTTCTTGTGGCACCTTATCCTGCATTGGAATTGACTTAGTCTTGGACAAGTTCGTTGGGTTATGCGCTGAACCATTAAAAGTTGCTGTAGTATTACTAATTGTTACATCAGAGTTCAATCCGACGACTTTAGAAAACATGTCCTCGTCTTCCTTTTCGTCATCAGTAAATGAGGGAAATAAAACCATTTTCAGTATGAATTCAGGTGTTGCTGTGAAGCATTGGTAAACAAAGCGCACATGATTCCCGCAAATCGAAAGCAAAAGCTTGAAGTGACTAGGTTGGAGTGGCAGATCGCTGCAAAAGCAAACCTCGAGCAGTCCTGCGTAGACCTGTATTAAACACGACTTGGGACCAAAACGGTAAAATGAACGAACGCGATCTGATACAAAGCAATTACTTGGACTATTAACACACATTCTTGCCATAAGTTGGTTGTTTCGTGCGCATAATAACATGCATGCACTAAGATCACGGAAAACCCATGGGCTTGGGCGGGTGAAAACCAATTGTTTTAGTAAATTAAAGAGTAATTCAAGTTGGAATCCATATGTATCTTCCTTTACTTGGTTAACATGGCTTAACAAACTGTGGAGAAACGCTGCAGTGGCTTCAAGAACACCAAAATGACCTAACACCTCAAATGAGTAACTTAAATTGGTAATCGCCTCAATTATTATCTGTAATACCCAGTATTTACCATACTGTTTTGTTAGCAATGTTTGCGGTATGCTGCTTTGTTTTTGGCAGATTATCGCCAACGTGCCAATATAGCGACGCATAAGGACTGCTTGTTCCATGTCGTATAAAGCGCTCGACTGAATCAATGACAAGCGCATAGTTGTACATTGATCTGATTGTAGATCAAAATGATGATAGGGATAAAGCATACAGTTTTGTGGTATCTCCAAGCTTTGGGTATAGGACCAAAACTCTGTTAAGACTCTACCCACAGACATAAATATGCGGCCTGTGATAGTTTCGACATATTGAGGCTCAGACTGCATTTGAGCGTAATCAAGAAGCAGTTGCTTCAACTCGACTTCAAAAAACGTACGTTGCTTTTTTTTACCGCGTGTTTCTTTCGTGTACTCGTAGATTTGTGCTTTAGTCTTCGTGGAACTTTGTTTTGCAAAAGGACTACCGATAGATAAATTTTCTATTCGAAGTGAACTCCTACATTCGTCAGCATCGGTGACTATCGACTCTGAATTTTCTTTGAATATGTTTCGTTCGCTATTTGTAGCATTCCTAATTTTAAGCTTGGAGAACTCTACATTTGTAATTTTCAATTCTGCGTCTTTGGCTATCATTTGCTTTAATGCTTTTCCAAATTTTTCGTTGTACTCCTTTTCTCCTTCAGCAGCCATTGTAAGCTTATCCATCTTGCTAGCTTGAAGCAGTTTACGTGCTTGTCGAAGTTCGTTACGGAGTAGACCCACCTTTGAATTATGTATTAGTTAAAGTTTAAAATTATATTATATTTACTCACCTCGCCATCCTTAGCGCTGGCTTGGTTGTTGCTCTCCGACAGGTCTTTCTGCAATTTTTCATTCTCCTTTTTAAGTAAATCAACACGTTCCATTAAAAATTTGAGTTGGCGCTCTTGTGCCAATTGACGTCTAGTTTCCGTTGCCAGATTTGAGGAACCGTCCGTCCATTTGCTTGCAGTACCAGTTTCAACCTCTGCTAAAACTGTTTTTTGCCCACGTCCAGCATCGGGTAAGAAAACAAAAGTTTCATCAGTCCCAAAAATTTCTTCCACATTCAAGCTCGAGGGGAGATCGATCCCTAGCAGCTCATTTGCAAATATTTCCTGGGTACTCGTACTGCCATGAGCTTCAGCCACAAAATCATTAAAGGCAACTTCGCTCTCTCTACTTCGCACACGATCAGTTTGCCTCTGCTTTTCCTCTGCTTGTTGGGTAGCTAACAAAACGTCATCGTCATCGTCACTCGCCCAGAATTCATATATTCTAGAAGTGTTCGCGCTGATCCGCCCGCGATTAACGCTTACGTCCAATTTAATCTTTTTAGCATGCCCAAACTTATCATTTGGGCCGAGCCGCTTAGCCATTTTTAAAGGTTTATAAAAATACAATCGTATATGATCGCTCTTGAATGAAGAAATTAAAAATTGCTTCTCACTGAACTAAGCAGTAAGTTTGTTTTGTTTTGGCCGACGAAATGATCATAATTAAAATAATGGTTTGTATTTATATCCACTGGGAGAGCAATGTTATAATAGTTTCTACGAATAAATGAAAATAGTTATCGGAAACTCAATTATTAGTGTTAACCAAAAAGCAACAAATGAACATCGGATTCAACAATATGAGCGAACTGATTTATCTTTCGAAATTATTGGACTTTAAGAACAAAAGAATGTGCCCACTAAATAAGCATCATTTATTCGACAATTTAAAATCTTCCAAATTAATTTTGATACCGAAAAAATATTTATAAAATTTGCTCAAATTTGCACATGATATTACTTTAAATCGATTCAGAAAGGTGTAAGAGTCTTAACAGTAGACTAACATTATCGATTAGATTAATTAATTCATTTGCGATAATGAATCGACATTCGACTTAATTTACAGTCAGCTGTCCAGCCCTGGTGGCATATCGATATTTTCGTTTCTTTTCGATGCCTACACAGTTGAATAGAGGATTCGGTATGAACGCGTCGACCACTATTTTTCGAAGCGCCGAAATAAAGTTAAGACAGTTCCAAACGCGTTAAATAAGTTTTAAATAATCCGCTTAAAATATAATTGAGTTTATTTAGGGTAACTGTGCCACAGAAAACATTTTTTAGGCCAGTTCGCAAGTGCACAGACTCGAATGTGACAAAAATATATGAAAACAGGAGCTATACGGCCGCCACCGCGCAACTGCAAATGTATTAGTGGTAGCGACTCTACAGGCGCAATTTAAAGTAAAGAAAAATAAATATATATTCCTGTACATAGCAGTGTTTATGCAAAATTGTGATTTAAAAAAGTACGTTTAATTATTTATTCACCAATATATCTATGACTCAGCCGAAGTAGCGTTCATAAGTATGTAGACATATGTGTTCTCTCGCAGAAGTACCTAATAATTTCCGTGAAATTTGCGTGTCTCTTGTATTCTAAAGAAAATGAAGAAAAAATTGTACTTCAATGTTCCTGTTTTTTTTTTAGATCGTGTAATACAATTTACTAAAATTCTGTAAGCATTTGATAGAACAATGGTATATTTTCAATAACTTTATAAACATTTTTTAAACAATTAATGCTAATTTATGTTCGGGCGTCGCCTAACAAACGGCAACAAAAACAAGAGTGCTTTTATTAGTGTATTTGAATGCGAGATGGCTTCTTGACACGCACACTATACAAACTGGCTAGTAATAAACTAATACTTTCATAAATATACGTATGTATAAGTTTATGTTATACAAAGAAGTTTTCTTTTATTCGTCTATTGTGCTCAGTAGGGAGTTCATTAACATTATTTATTGAATCGTTGTAAGAGTCATTCATTTACTCAGTTAAAGCCATATTAATACACTCTTGTCAAAAATACTCATGACGCTGGAAAAATGATCTCACCATAGGTTTTCTAATTTTGTGATATGCTTCTATGCAGTAGATTTTACAATTATTTTCTATGTACACAAATAGCTACAGACAGCTCCTTTACGCCTACATGAAATATCAGGCTTACGTTTTTAAACTGAGCACAACTTGTTTAACAAGTTAGGTAAGTCGAGGTCATGCTGCGATTTGAGGTACCATTTTCTTTTGCTATATATGTACTATTTACAACGTTTTTTCTATCTTCCCAGGCTTATAAGTTCTTTATGCAAAAATTAAAAAATTGCTATAAGTTTCATCAGTCATTAATTAATTTTTATTGATCCAATTATTTTAAATAAACTTTTCATTAGCTCTTAACATTATTTATATATATACATTTTTGCATTTTGCAGACTCGTAAATTGACAAACCTTAATCCACAAAAAAAAAAAAAAAAACAATTATGTTGAAGTTTATACGAGGAAAGGGTCAACAGCCAACAGCTGAACGACAGCGACTACAGAAGGAGCTCTTTGCATATCGTAAGGTATGTATTTACATATATATTTCTGTCTTAAGTAAAGCTGTAGGATATTCGCTAAATTCAAGAAGTGACTCCTTATGTGACGAAAATAGAAATGGATAAGTTGTACTATCTGCAACCGACATTTAAATCCGAAAATAAAATCCAGAATATCAACTTAATTTATATAATTTAGCAATTGAGATTTTATTATTTATCAAAGATACCGTCAATATTGATCTGCCTTACTTGCAGTTTTTAGTAAGATATGATATGAGAGCATACCGTAAGTATGAGTACATATTAGAAGAAATGTCAGCAATCACCGGCCATGTATTTCATGCGGAATTGGCTTTAATACATAGGTTATGAAATTGTTGCAAAGAAATTTGTAACGCATACACAGCCAGCTTCTTGACCTCGTAAAATAAATATATGATAATGTCGACTATACTCTTGACTAAACTATATCATTAAACTTCTATATAAACAATTTTTTTTTTTTTTTTAAAGCTTTTGATAAAACTCGACAATAACAAGTTTATTTATGCTCTTTTCTTCTAACATACGCGGAACGAGCTTATCCTTATATTCAAAATATATATATATATCTTATCCCATTTTCAAAACATCTATTAAAATCGGTTTGATATATAATTTTAAAAGAATTTGAGCAACAAACACCAAATCCGGTATATTTTCCTAAGCTGTCATATATTTCACACAGTTTATGACTTTCGAGCTTTTTAGATACAGCTTGAACATATATACTTATAAGTTTATATTATTTTATTTAACAGTTGGTAACGAGGAACTTAACTGTGCATTAAAAAAACGATAAGAAAACCGTACAGAAACTTGCCTTAAGAATATGCTGAAAAATGCACGTGCCGTTCAATGCCAACACCATCACCTAGTCGTAGCTGGTTGCGACGTTTAATTCAATGACATCACCAAGACTACGTCACCTTGTTGCGTTACAGTTTTGAAACAATATTTGAGCAGTAATAACATATACATTGCATATGGATTTGTAGTTCTATGTGTAAAACCGATATCGACAATTGGTCTCAATATGAGTAACCGACTAACAGATTCGAATTACTTGAAAATTATATCACATATCTTCCGTATTTCTAAATGAAAGATCATATTTCTTTATCGGTGCTTTTACCACTCTTAAATGAATCCCCATTTAATTATATAAGTTAAGAAAGAATGAAATATGACTTCAAAAGTTACGAAGCGCAGTGTTTTATATATTGATAATCAGCTAAAAGTATAAATTCTTTAAAATAACTTTTACTTCTTTATTGTTAACCCCATTAAACTTCCAGCCGTATTAGCATATTATGCTAGTATAATTATAAATTTTAGAATGAAACATAAATAATTTCAGAGCACTTTACAAGACTATATGTTACAATATATATTTTCAAGACTCAAATATTATCTTTTATCACCAAAACCAATACAAAAAGTTATACTCATCAGCCCAAAATAATAATTTTGTGTTCATAACGCAAGTCTGGCAAAAAAAAAAAAGCAAGCAGTCGGCATAGCCGGTACAAAGTAGATAAGATAAACTTAGTTTGTTTTATGTACAAACCGAACAAATGGGTTGGTCGAAAGAAATATTTATGTATTCTATATAAAGAGGGAAATATATCGGGTATAGTTTGTTGGTACTGATAGGCGTAGTATGTCTTGCTGATAAGATTTCAAAACACAGTCACCGCGATTGTGTAAAATGCTGCACCTGTAATGGGGTCGAAACTTTATTAAATTCTTTTACTCCATTATACCATGTAAAATTAAAATGAGTAAGAAATGCGGTATAATGTTTTGTTCACAGAAAGAATGGAGAATCTTCTATTCGAAAGTGGGTATATTTTTGATCAAGCAGACGCGGTGAGTCGAGTAGCCATGTCTATCTGTTAGAGCTAGAGTTCAAGACTTAAAAACCCATATGTCAGCTGCTTCATTTTAACAACGTCGATAAATTTGTATTTTCAAAAAAAGATTTTGAATACATTTGGGAATCTCTAAGAGTTGGAGACACAAATGCAGGGAAAATGTTTTCTTATAGAATGCGAGGATAACAAATATTAAACTTTTTTGTTTTCTTTCTCCGTTCTGATTGAATTTAAAAGAAAAACAAATTTTTATATATGTTGATATGTATATAGCCTTGCGCTTTTTACATACACACATTTTAAATCCACCCTGATGCCCTGTCCATTTTATTATGATTCAAGAATAACAAGTAAGAGGTTCTAGTCAGGAGCTCCCGACTAGGGAATACCCTGAACCCTCTTCTTCCAACATCAAATGCATATATATATATATTCCATTTTAGAAGCTATATGTCAAGAATGGTGACTCTAGCTCTTATTATTTACCGAAATTGCCCAAAAAACAGGATATCGATATCGATTTTTATCGATTGCTTGGAAACGGAGTAAGTTATCGATTATCGGAAACAAACTCGATCTGCGCAGGAACTAGGAGCACCTACATCACCGACAAAAGAAGAAGCACGGCCGCTGTCTAATTTGCTCAGCTTGCGGCGTTAAGCTTGTGTGCGCAAAGTATAGAAGTAACTTCGGGTGTATTTTACTGCAGCTCGAAACTGTGCATAGGGTATATTGCTAGCTTGAATTAATAGTTATCGTTATTATAATTCAACAGCTATCGTTACATTTTTTGGTTAAATATATACTCTTTAAATACTTAATACTAATGAAACAATTTGTAAGCTCAAAACTTATTTTGGTCAAGTTTATTTTCCTAGTCTGATTGTAAGTTACAATCCTATCAAGCTGAATCATTAAACCTTATACAACAATATAAAATGTCCTAAATTTGTAAATATAGAACACTCATTGGGAGTGTAAGTTGTCAAGGTCTTTTAAGTTGTTGTCCCTTCAATATTAAGCTGTGACCAAATAAAATATATATTTTAGAGAATTACCCCTTATCTAAAGTATTTCGTCTATTTGTCGATGTTTATTCATTTTGTTTAATACGTTATTCATTTGCAGACAGCACAACATGGTTTTCCACACAAGCCCTCTGCGTTGGCGTATGATCCAGTATCAAAGCTTATGGCTATTGGAACACAAACCGGTGCTATAAAAGTATTCGGTCAACCAGGCGTAGAGCTATATGCCCAACATACATTAGTCAATAACTCGACGTCTGAATTAAACGTTCAACTACTTGAATGGGTTTATGGGAGTGGTCGTCTTCTCTCGTTAACTGCAGCAAACCAACTAATATTGTGGGAGCCTGTTGGTATTACATTAGTGCCAATTAAAACACTTCCTTTTGATGGAAAATTGAAAAAAGTATCCTCATTATGCTGCTCGCTAAGAAAAGATCTTGTATGGATAGGGACCGAAGGTGGCAACATATATCAGTTCGATCTAAAATCTTTTACCATACGTGAACCCGTTATTTATCATGATGTGGTGTTAGAACAAGTGCCACCGACTTACAAGCTCAATCCAGGAGCTATTGAGTCAATATGCCAGCTGCCAAACGCACTTAATAAACTGCTTATTGCTTACAATCGTGGACTCTGTGTATTATGGGATATAGACACGTCGTCTGTAGAGCGTGCCTACATCGCACCCGGGCACGGTCAAAGTGTTGGACTGTATGTCAATAACACTGGCACAGAATTCACTTGGTATCACGCAGACGGCTCTTATGCTAGTTGGCTGATCGCAAGTGGGGAGCCACCTCAAAATGTAAACTATGTTCCCTATGGGCCAGATCCATGCAAAAGTATTAATCGGCTTTATAAGGGCAAGCGGAGGTAAGTTCTTGGTTTATTTAAAGTTGACTGTTTCAACAAACATTTTTCGTTTTAGTGTCAATGATGTAATCATTTTTTCTGGAGGAATGCCGCGTTCGGCCTACGGTGATCACAACTGTGTTTCGGTGCATTCCAGCGATGGCAAAAAAATCTGCCTTGATTTTACGTCCAAAGTAATTGATTTCTTTGTAACATACAAGGAAGAAAGCGAGGATTTGCAAGTGCTTGTTGTATTGCTTGAAGAAGAGTTTTGCGCCTATGATCTCACTGATGCAAAAGTTCCAGCTGTTAAAGCTCCTTATCTGCACTCGGTACATGCCTCAGCAGTCACATGTAATTACCTAGCCTCTCAAGTCACGCAGACAGTGTATAAGCATATTTTACGCGCTGGTGATGAACAGGATATAGAGTTCAGTAGTATTGATTGGCCCGTAACAGGTGGTGTGCTACCAGAAGGAGTCGCACAGTGCGATGAAAATGAGACAACAATGGAGTACGAAATACTTTTAACTGGTCATGAAGACGGTTCCGTTAAGTTCTGGGATTGCTCTGGAGTTCTCTTAAAACCGATATATAATTTTAAGACAGCAAATATTTTTGGTCATGAAAATCACGATGAAGCAGCTGCAATTGAATGCAATGAACTTGATGAGAGTGAACCACCTTTTCGAAAAGCCGGTCTATTTGATCCATATTCCGACGATCCTCGCTTAGCAGTAAAAAAAATTGCACTGTGTCCCAAAACAGGTCATTTAATTGTGGGTGGCACTGCTGGACAAATTGTCATAGCAGATTTTGACGGAGACTCCATAGAGCACGTTACGTTAAAGCTTAGTTCCATGAACTTGGTTAGCGATCGCGATGGTTTTGTGTGGAAAGGTCATGATCAACTAAACGTTCGTCCAAATTTATTAGAAGAAGATGCTTTGCCAATTAGTGAAAATGGCGTCAACATAACAGGGGTGTTACAAGTACTTCCACCAGCTAGCATTACGTGTCTAGCGTTAGAAGCTAACTGGGGATTAGTCTCCGGAGGTACTGCGCACGGCTTAGTGTTGTTTGACTTTAAAAACTTTGTGCCAGTTTTTCACCGCTGTACATTAAATCCAAACGATTTGACTGGTGCCGGCGAGCAGCTTTCTCGACGTAAATCGTTTAAGAAATCGCTTCGCGAATCATTCCGAAAACTGCGCAAAGGAAGATCAACTCGTAACAATCCCAACAATCAGGTTCCAACTACAGTAAGTCCCAATGTTTAAATTGTTACCAATAATTACATAATATCGTTTAATACAGTTGGAAGCGCGACCTGTTGAAAGACAAATAGAGGCGCGATGCACAGACGATGGTATGAGTTCTATGGTGCGATGCTTGCTCTTTGCTAAAACCTATATAACCAACGGTGTGTATAATAATATTTTTGAATGCTTTGAACGAGTCTTATCATTTCTCTGCAGTTAATATAACCTCCCCCACCTTGTGGTCTGCAACGAACGCCAGCACCGTTTCGGTGTTTCTTTTACATTTGCCACCCGCACAAACTGCAGCAACAACTGGCCCACCTGCTAGTGGTAATGCCACGCCGCAGTCTCCACGACGTATTTCTGCACAACTGGCCAAGGAAATTCAGCTAAAGCATCGTGCGCCTGTTATAGGCATTTCTATTTTTGACCAAAGTGGCTGTCCTGTTGACCAGCTTAATTATGGCGAAAATGGTACACCGCCGCATCGTGTCTTGATTGCTTCTGAAGAACAGTTTAAGGTTTTCTCACTACCACAATTAAAGCCTATAAACAAATATAAGCTTACGGCTCATGAAGGAGCCCGTATACGTCGCATCCATTTTGGCTCATTTAGCTGTCGCGTCTCACATGAGCTTTTGCAAAGTCTTACCGGAAGCAGCCCTACAAAATCTACGAGATCAAATGATGGTGGCGATGGAGCGGCAAATACAAGTCTAGCATCGGCAGCTTGCAATAGTGAAATTTATCATGAGATGGCATTGATTTGTTTGACCAACATGGGGGACATCATGGTTTTATCAGTGCCAGAGCTAAAGCGCCAATTAAATGCAGCTGCAGTGAGGCGTGAAGATATCAAGTTCGTATGATATATATATGAGCCTTAGTGTTACCGCTTTTACATATTTAATCATTCGTCTCTTGTAGTGGTATTTCATCGCTTTGCTTTACCAATAGCGGCGAGGCATTGTATATGATGTCGTCTTCAGAATTGCAACGGATTGCTTTGGCCACCTTCCGGGTCGTACAGCCAACTGGAATGGTTCCGGTAGAACCTTTCGAGAGCGAAGGCAACGTATCCACAATGCCCACAAATGATGACGATAATAGCGATAAAGAAGTCGATTCAAACGATGATAGTGTCGAAAACGGTATCAGTGCAACCATACCCCACCCACCAATTGCCAAGCAACGCGCCAAGCCGCTAGAGCTTAGCATTGAAAACAATATCTCTCCACTTACTAATGGTTTAAACAGCGGTAATTCACCTAATCGAGCCAATGAGACAATCACCAGCTCTATAGGTGATATAACTGTCGACTCTGTGCGTGATCACTTAAATTCCACTACCACAACGCTATGTTCAACAACTACAGAGGAAACTGTCGGTAAGTAAATACCTTCGTGTGAACCATTTATAATCTCCATATGTTCTTAATATTAATTACTCTCCATATTTTTCAATGTTCTGTACAACACCCCGTGCCTTACTCATATACTCTTTTTGTCATTATCCAATAATAATCCTTTTATTACGTTCATTTTTACTGCATATGTTACTTACTTATTTACCTTTGTTTCTAGGTTAACGGCAGTAAAATTCGCAAACATAGTAAACATTATTTAACGACTTTAGTTTTAATGGCACAAGACAATAAACTACCTTTTGCATGACCTTTGTAATATGATCCAAATTACATACTTTTACATTGTTATAAACGCATTGATTAACATTTTCTTAATATGATTTGATAGGTCGGCTGTCAGTGCTTAGCACGCAAACAAACCAAGCCACCGCCAGCGTTAATATAAAGGATATACCTAATATAAATATACCCAATTTATTCGATTTGGCGTCAAAAGGGTATGTAAATGACCGCGCTACCGTTGCAATTTTATCTTATTATATTTTTTCAGTAATACCACGGAAACGAGCACTAGCTCTGTTGTCATAAAGTCTGTCATAACGAGTATATCACATGAAAACACAAACGGGGAAAACGAAACTTTAAAGACTCAAACTACAGCGCATGAGGAAAGTCAATTTTAGACAGATTTATAAAAACACCCTCGTAAGACACTTTAAAAAACGTTAAAACAAAAAAACTTCACGTTCGAAGACAAAACATATATATACAAATTTGCATTATATTTTAATACAAATATTACTTACATAACACTAAAATATGACAGGGCGCAACTGGACAAGCTGTCGATTTTAATTGAACACATATATGTCGCATTTTAAAAAATGTAAAGAATTTTCATATCACTTCTCTATTAAATTTTGTTATTAAAATATGTTATCTATAAGCTAGTGAACAGACGAAACGCCTAAATTGTGTACACCTATTTAAAAAACATTAATATTTTTTTATATTAGAATGACAATATTTTCAATAGCTGAAAATCTTTAGTGCATAAGCGTATACCATAACCATATATATATATATTTATATATACGACACATAGTACAATACAAAACACATTTGCCTTATATTATGAAAATCTTTATTACGGATTTTATCAAAGTATTACAAATTTAAAAGTATAATTACAAATGCTTTTGTACGTTCCACCGATTCCCTGTCCCAATATATATGTACCCTTAAAAAATGTTGGCGGTTAGCAAAATAATTGTTGTTTTTTAATGTCTATAACAATGATATACATTAGCTTTTATAAATTTCAGTGCTTTTGCCACCATACATTTTTTAAATAACCGTTAGCTACATATGTAAAAAATTCAACACAAGTGTTGCATTTATTTTTAAATATACAATCAACTTAATCAATACCCAACTATCTAGGAAATCAAACAACAAGTATTTAATTGTAAATAGGCGAAACACTGAAAGATTCTCATTGTCGCTCTCAGTACAGTTTTCATAAAATATTTCGGATTGAGGAAGACAGTCTATAGTCGGATGCGTAGGTTTGCCTGCCTGTACATCAATGCGAGATTGCGCCACAATTTAACTCGTGCAATTGGCACGCATTTTGCTCAGCCTTTTTGTTTTATGTTCACGAATCTAGAACGCCTAAAGATGGTTCAATACTTAAAATTTAATTTAATGTTTTAAAATCGGTTTTGTGCACAATTTTAACATCTTTTTCATTCAACATACAAGAAAATAAAAAAAAAATTGTTCACATGCGGTTACGATAGTTCGTGCGATTGACGCCATCGATACACATTTTATAAAATAACATGGCTGTTATGCTGGTATTTTATGTTGGTTTTTATCGACTTTTTTACCATTGCTTAAAATACTGATTTTCCGGGCATGTTCCTTAAATTGAACTTAAAAATTCGTGGAATAGAATGCCTAACGATGGTTCATTTATTAAAATGTGATTTAATGTTTCAAAATCGGTTTTGCGTAGAATTTTTAATCCTTTTTGTTGAATATACAGGTAAATAAAAAATGTGTTTGTCCGCATGCGGCAACAATAGTTAATGTGAATTGACGCCATCGATATACATTTTATTAAATAACAGAGCTGTTATGATGCGAATGGTTAATCGATAAGACTGCAATAGAGTGAATACATAATAGACAGAAATAATGTAATGGTCAATGTAAAGGGAATATTATTATGGTATCACTTAATGTATTTTATTAGAACGTTATGCTGATATTTTATGTTGCACACTATCGATTCTTTTAACATTGCTTAAAATACTGATTTTCCGGGCATGTTCCATAAATTGAACTTTAAAATTCGTGGAATTTACTTGGACAAAGACATTGAATTATATGTATTTTGTCACTGTCCTATTTTATGTGCAGTATTATAAAATACAAAGAGATTAATGAATTTCCTGGTTGTGCAAGTTGAATTATAAAGATAATCGTGTGACGGGAGTGTGCTAACGAGCTTGAAAAAAATATTGCTTCAATAAAATTAAAAAAAAAATATATAGGCTTGCTGACTAAATAAATCTAAAATGGAACTAATGGGAAAAATTTACTGAAATTTTATATGTGCTTGTTTTTTTTCCTTTATATTGACAGAGCACATACAGATACCGTACATCCAGGTGGAAGCGAGTGGGTGAAAGGAATATGAGTGAACACACAGGAGGAATTGGTTCCCACTTGGCCATGGTGCAGCAACATATTTCAAGCATACCCGCTCCATATCCATATATAGGCAGCCAAGCTTTGTCCGGATTTATTTAGGATAGATGTTTACAAATTCCAGTCTACAAAATTTGAAGCTTAATATAATCACAAAATTTTTATATGGTATAGTTAAGGGTTTTATCCCGATATTATATAGCAAGTGTAATTATGTTTGTCTCATTTCATCTTTGTTATTGATTGTGATTAATTGAGCATAACACCTTTAGACTGAAAGCGACGACAGCATTACTACTATTTGGCATGCCATAAGCCGGCTGTTCTGATAACGTGCTGTGAGGGAGAGGAGGTGACGTAAAATGAATGAAAAACACATAGAATACCCTGTTGCTGCAGTGCAAGGTATGACAGAGTATTTTAACTGGTTACCATGCATAGTCGTTTGAGCAGCGTTTGACAGCGATGGATTTTTAATGTATAGAGTATGTTCATTTATGGGTAATGTTGTGTGCTTGTGCAACTGGATTAATGGCAGGGACATCACTTTGATGATGCAAAAGTTAAGTGGAAGTGCACGATTGTAATATAAACAAGTTGCCGTCAGCAAAGCAGGAACATACACGGTTGCGGTCTTGGCATTGTCTCCATTCCAGTATACAAGACGGGAGTATGTTCTTGGGAGTATATTACGTGTTGAAGAAATAGAAACAGGATTGAAGATTTCAGTATCTTTGGGGTACTGCTCTGGTGCAAGGGGTTTGTAAATAGGGATCGTTAGGATAGCTATGAAGGGTTCCCTAGACGGAAAATATATATTGAAAGTCTTTTGTAAAAAGCTTGCAGTACATTATGAAGATCATCTACATGATAAGCATAGTGAGTTAGAGTCGAGTCTGTTTGCTCAGAAGAAAGAGTTTGCCTACTTTGGACAAGTGTTTTAGTAGATAGTTGTCAATTCGATCGATGCCAGGAGACTTACGAACTTTTAGCTGCCCCATAGCATCTGATTCAGAAAGCGTAATATGGCGCAGGTGACAGTTTCGTGTGGGGGAGGATAGCTGATCAGTTCCATTGAGGAAGCGTTGTATTCGGTGATGGTGCGCAGTTGGTGCAAGCTCAAAGGGAGTAAAGCGTGCTTGGAGCTCATCAGCCTGGTCTTCGGCAGATTGGCACCAATGGCCATTTTGATTTCGGACATTGTGCTGAGCATGTGGTTGCCGTTTAAGATTTTTGGTGGCGCGCCATAAATTAAAAGCGCCTTTCTTCGAAGGATCAGCGTTGCTGAGCGTATGATCTATATATTGTTGGCGGTGGGAGCGAAGCAAAAGGGTTGGCTGACGACTAGTTAGCTGCCATTTTTGCGTGAGCGCATCCCGCGTTTGCGTAGTCTGCGTTTTTGACGAATTAAGTTCATTCATTTGGGTAGGCGGAAGACGAAACGGACTGTCCGCGCCATTATTGTTGCTGTTACTTCGAATAGGTAGGACAGCTGCTGGAGAGTTTGAAGCTCTCGCAGCATTGTTGAGGTTTTGTAAAAAAAGGCATAGCATATCAACAATGTCATTTGTAGAGGTGGTTTCTACATTTAGGTTTATGACGGAAACTAGGTGTTGATTAAAAACTGTCATCTTTTAGGTTTTGATATAGGGGATTTTGATTAGTGATGGCTAGTTCCATCCTAACTAGTAGCGGTAAGTGGTCGCTGTGTAATTCAGTTACACGAGTTATGGAAAGTTTATGTCTTGCTACTCCTGTGTAGACATAGAAATCAAGAACACTGGGGTGGGTGTTATTTGATGGAAAGTGAGTAGGCTCACCTGTTGTGAGAACATTGAATTGATAAAAACTAACTAATATTGGCAAGCGTTGAACCGCGAGCACATTGACGCTGGTTTCCCCACAGTCTATGTTTAGCATTCCAGTCACCTGCAATCAGGAAGTTTCCGCCTAGTTGACTAAATAGCCAGTTATAGTTGTCCTGATTTACAGGATGATTGGGGGCCAGTTGCAGGCGGCTCTGCAGAAATTTCCTGAGGTGGTATGGAGTTTCACCTTGGCACAGTGCAGATATGGCAGGGAGATGCAGGGCAATGTTTGGGAACGTATTCTGTTGGATATGAAAATGGCAGCTCCACCCACATACAGGTGGTTGTGGGGCGAGTTTGCCGAGATGACTACATAGCCTGGGGCTTCAATATGAAGTTTAAGTGAGTTTCGTTTATTAGCATTATGTCCGTGTTATGATAATTCATAAACTGGCTAAGTTCGCGTCTGAGTCCATTAGCATTCCATATACCGATATGAAGAGCAGTCATATTGTAATTTTACTAAGAGCTGCGTAATGAATGAGAAAGAAAGTGTGATGTAGATTCATTTGCTGGTGTGCTTGGCATGATTTTGCCAAGAGCGGATGAGGAAGGGAGGAGTTTGTTTAGTAAGTTATGCTTCTGTTATACCACTTGTGCCGTGACTGATTGATTGCCTTGTAATAAAGTTTTAGCTAAAGGTAAGATACTTTTAACGAGCATTAAGGTGGGGAGAAGACTCACTATGCTGTATTTTTAGGCTTGCTATAAAAGCAGAAGGTTTAATAGGGTCAAGAAACAATAAAAGCATACTTGGATCAGGAAGTGTAAGTAAAATTTGAGTGGAGCTAACAGATTTTACGTACAACATTCAGTTTTGATATGAGTTGAGTAATTTTCCAGGGTTTTAGTTTATGGGAGTTGTCTGATATAAAGGGAAAAAGAACAACCAAACTTCACAGTACTGCAGCGCTTTAGTTGAATTTTGGGAGCAACTGACAAGATATTGTATGTGGGCGTTGGCATATAAGGAAAATTTGAGATTATAGTTTCAATGCCTACTTTGAAAGTGGAGAAAATTTGAAAGAAAAGCTCATTTAAATCAGGGAGGCATAAGTATAACGGAAATGTTATAGATAATTATACTATAGACAACTCGGCCTTGTTTATACGGGTAGCATCTTAAATGAGCTTGGCTACGTTGAAACTCACTACGTTGAGATTCCATATTAAGGCCAAAACTGGACAGTCATTTAAAAGTTCAAAGCATTGAACTATTCAAGGGTGAAAAGATTATATAAGAAAGGAGAAGTTGTTTAACGGTCGATAATAGATACAAAAACTGAAAGCAAAAAGAGTAGATTTGGATACATACGTTATTAAAACAGAAAGGAACAGGCAAAACATATTTGAGTCATGATTTTTAGCTTAAATGCAGGTAGAAAATTAGTTAGAGCCAATGAATCAGAGGATTAGGGTCGATAAGTAAATTTTACTTGAAAGGAGCAAACAAAAATAAATAAACTTATTTTTCCAAATTTTGGGAGTCTGTTCGCATACAATCAATCCGGAGAAGGCAGCTGGACTTTGAATTGAGGAAAATTTGGAAGTTTTTATGTTGTTCAAGTTAGTGTTAAAATCGTGATGTAACCCCTTGCCATTTTGGTCGATTTGGGTCAAAATTTAGATTTACTATTTTTTGATGCCAGTCGATAGTACTGATCCTTACGAGTCCAAAATGGTATAAAATTTGAAAATCGGACACTATTTGGCCGAGATATTCAAAAAAATCGATAGTACTGATCCTTACGAGTCCAAAATGGTATAAAATTTGGAAATCGGACACTATTTGGCCGAGATATTCAAAAAAATCGTCAAAAAAGGTTTGATTTGTGAATTGAACCCGATTTTGATAAAAATCGTGATGTAACCCCTTGCCATTTTGGTCGATTTGGGTCAAAATTTAGATTTACTATTTTTTGATGCCAGTCGATAGTACTGATCCTTACGAGTCCAAAATGGTATAAAATTTGAAAATCGGACACTATTTGGCCGAGATATTCAAAAAAATCATCAAAAAAGGTTTGATTTTCGAACCGAACCCGATTTTGATAAAAATCGTGATGTAACCCCTTGCCATTTTGGTCGATTTGGGTCAAAATTTAGATTTACTATTTTTTGATGCCAGTCGATAGTACTGATCCTTACGATTCCAAAATGGTATAAAATTTGAAAATCGGACACTATTTGGCCGAGATATTCAAAAAAATCGATAGTACTGATCCTTACGAGTCCAAAATTGGAGTTATGTCGTTTTCAAACGTCATATCTTCCGCGGATATATGTCGTTTTTAGAGCGGCGGAGTTATGTCGCTTCAAAACGACATAATCTCGCCATGATCAGCGGCGGAGTTATGTCGTTTTCAAACGTCATAATTTCGCCAGAAAGTATACAAATTCAAAAAGGTATAATATTTAAAAATCAGACTTTATTTGCCCGAGATATTCAAAAAAAAAATCATCAAAAAAGGTTTGATTTTCGAACCGATGTAACCCCTTGCCATTTTGGTCGATTTGGGTCAAAATTTAGATTTTCTCTTTTTTGATGCCAGTCGATAGTACTGATCCTTACGAGTCCAAAATGGTATAAAATTTGGAAATCGGACACTATTTGGCCGAGATATTCAAAAAAATCGTCAAAAAAGGTTTGATTTGTGAACCGAACCCGATTTTGATAAAAATCGTGATGTAACCCCTTGCCATTTTGGTCGATTTGGGTCAAAATTTAGATTTACTATTTTTTGATGCCAGTCGATAGTACTGATCCTTACGATTCCAAAATGGTATAAAATTTGAAAATCGGACACTATTTGGCCGAGATATTCAAAAAAATCGATAGTACTGATCCTTACGAGTCCAAAATTGGAGTTATGTCGTTTTCAAACGTCATATCTTCCGCGGATATATGTCGTTTTTAGAGCGGCGGAGTTATGTCGCTTCAAAACGACATAATCTCGCCATGATCAGCGGCGGAGTTATGTCGTTTTCAAACGTCATAATTTCGCCAGAAAGTATACAAATTCAAAAAGGTATAATATTTAAAAATCAGACTTTATTTGCCCGAGATATTCAAAAAAAAAATCATCAAAAAAGGTTTGATTTTCGAACCGATGTAACCCCTTGCCATTTTGGTCGATTTGGGTCAAAATTTAGATTTTCTATTTTTTGATGCCAGTCGATAGTACTGATCCTTACGAGTCCAAAATGGTATAAAATTTGAAACTCGGACACTATTTGGCCGAGATATTCAAAAAAATCATCAAAAAAGGTTTGATTTGTGAATTGAACCCGATTTTGATAAAAATCGTGATGTAACCCCTTGCCATT